ATTTACCTAAACATCAGCACCATCCTGCCCTACCCTCCATGTCAGCAGCAGTGCCTGATCACGATACTCCAAGCAACAGAAGTTCCAGAAGACATTAGTTTTACTCTTCAGAATGCTTGCGCCCTTGATAACTTCTGTCCTGGTTTAGGGCAAATTTGGGAGAAAAACTGTGTCCTTCTTCCCCCCCGCCTTGGCTCTCAGAACCAGTCTTAATGGTGCAAAACTTATTTCTGGGTTAAACAGAGCATCATAAAGTCACCCCAGGACAGCTTCACTTGTTGGAATATCCTCACTTTGAACTAGTAACACCAAGACTCTTTTAGAACACAAGAATTTTGGTGTGTTTCCTCCTCAAGCATACACCTGAAACAAGAACTCTCTGCAGGCATACCCAGATTCCACTCAGAGACACTATGATTTCAAAGGTAAGATATTTGATTTGATTGCCAAAAATCTCTGCTCAGCCTGACTCATAGGTCACATATGCAGCGCACAGATATCTAAAGGAGTCATGCAAGAAGAACACTGCCTTTTTTTTTTTCTTTGGTGGGTCCTGCAGCACAGTCGGTCTGACAAGGATTGATAGGCACAATTTCAATCACTCCACTCCTGCACTGATCTGGGTGGTGCAGCACAGCTGGGAAACCTCTCCCAAGCACACTCAGCTTACTTCAGGTTTAAAATGACTTCATAAAAACTTTTATCCCACTGTTTGATGCCAGGTTGTGGCACATTAGTCAGCATGTTGAGTTCTTAGCTTTTCTGAAAGCTCACGAGGTTTAAAAGACTTCAGTGTTAAGCACAAACAATTTCTGCTTTTAAAACAAAACATGAGATGCTCCCTGGGTGAATCACCAAATCCACTTGCTCTCCAATTAAAAGAGTACTCTTTTCCCCTAACAATTTGTTTTGCAAGTTACACAACATCTTTCTCCTAATCTGCTTTGAAAGGCCACATCACACTCCGAAGGCAGCCCCTTTCAGCGGTGTGGTCTGTAGGAAGTGGAAAATCCTGCACTGCACAGCTCCCACACAGTCCTGGAGGGAACCTGGGGGTGAAGCAGTGAGTGTTAGCATGTCCTGGTCACCACGTGCTTCTGCTAATCCTAAAGTGACACGAGATGTTGCCTGGAATTAAAAACACCACCAAAAACCACTGGCCATGTTCATTTCTAGGTAGGCAGTGCTCCACCTCTCCCAGAGCACCCCAAATCCTGTTGCAGCACCTCTTTTCAAGCGCTGACTCACAGAACCACAGATGTTTGAAAGGATCTCATTCTTTTCTCAGGGCAGCCCAAAAAGCAGGGTCACCCACCAAATTCACACCAGCATGCTAAAGACTCTACCCAGGTTCAGAACTTGAAAACCTCCAACAACAGTGATTTCAGTGTCTCTGACCAACAAATACTTCATCATCCTTCAAATCATCTTCCCCTTTTAGTCTCCAGCTCCTTTTTAAGATCTGTCCTCCCTTCTTCTGCCATGAACTTCCATCAAAAGTCTGACTTCACCTTCTCACCCAAAAAGATGCTCAACTTGCCAGGCCCTTGGTAAGCTACCCCAGCTCTGTCAAACCAGAGCGGACACTCTCAAGCACTTCCCATTTCCTAGGTCCCTGACAGAATTATCTATTTCCCATGTGACTGAAGTGTGGAGGAGAGCAAAGAACATCTGAGTTAAGCATTAACCAACAGAGGAATCCCAGCAATCTCCCTGACAACCTTAATTTAGTCTGTTTGCCCTAGCAGAACAGGCATGCTTTAAAACAAGCAAATTAGCATGTTGCCAAACCCATGGAACTGCTCTCTGCCACCTCCTGCCAGCCTATTCTCAGGGCTGACGTGAGATCAGATGATTGTTTGCCAAAACAATCTAGATTTTTTTTCTGCCCGTTTCACTGTAAACAAAAATGACGACAAAAATACCAGGCACTTATTCCAACCTCTAGTACTTAAACCAGAAAAAAGAGAAAAAAACACCCCCAAAACACCAACCCAGAGCTCCCTCAGCAGCAGCTGAGTCCAGGTGCTCTTAACACCGATATCAAACTTCAGTAAAATACTCCAGTTTGCACACTACTACTGCAAAAACTGGAACTAAATTCTCATTGTGCAGCTCAGTCACATTCAACAAATTGCATGAAACCTGAACACCTCTCCCAGCTACCTAAAGCAGAAAATAAATGAATTAGTAGTTGTGATACCGCTCACCTTTAATTACCTGTGTGTGTATATAGGCAATTATCTTACAGAGAAATACTTTAAAGCATTGTTTTCCTTCCCAGCACAGATTCTCCCTCAACAGCCCAGTCCTGCTTCCTGTCCATCAGGAAAATGCCACTGATGAGGCTGCAGCCCTTAAAACCCCACCAAACAAAGCACTCCACTTCTGCAGGCCAGGCAGCACTGCACACCTTTTACTTTCAGATGAAGAGAACAAGGAAATAAAAACCTTCCACCTTTCTATTCTAGTTTCCCTTCCCTCAGGATAACGATTTCAGTTCCTAGCCCTCTGTCACCTGGAGCCATTTTTATCATAAAAAAAAAATCATTCCTCTGGACTTCTTCCCAAGGATGTGCCTCATTTCAGCTCCTGTGCCAGGCACCAAAAATACTTTCTCCTCTGTGAGTAGCTGCGCACCCTCTCCCAGCAAGCCCTTGCTCAGCACTCCCCTGGATGTGTGAAATAAGTTCTGGGAGGAGGCACACTCCTGTCAGCACATGAGCTCCTTGAATTACACCCAACACATGACAGGGAGCGCAGGTTGATTCATCTCTGCAACTCCACTGAAACTCGATGAATTGTAAGTTGCAAAGATGAACCAAGAAAATCTCCACACCCAGCTGTGAGGAACTTGGTGTATGAGCTCAGTGACAACTCAGCACAGCACAAACAGCGTGGCTTCTCTGCCACAAGGCCCAAACACATCTTTATTTACCTACACAAGGAAAAGAACAGGGATGAGGTGCAAGTAAGAGTGCTCTCCCAGTGCCTGGGGACATTGCTACCCCAGCACAACCAACTCCTCATTCCAATTAAAGCCAGCAAAATTTCCTAGGATTACTCTCCTGTATAATGGATGAAGCCTTTCCCTGATTACAGGCTTGCTCTTCCCTTACAAACCCATGGCAGTAATTGGTAAATTTGGCTGTCCAGTCACCCCAACACAACTTAAAGCATACCTGAATCCCAGCCCTTTTTCTCCCTCAAAGTAAATCTCTGTAATCTCTGTTCGTGTCAGGTTTATACACCGTTTGTGCACATCATGTCCAGAGTGAAAAAAATCTGCTTTCCTATTCAACCCACTCACTCAATTATACCATCAAAGGCCAGTCACTTACCCCAGGGCAAAACTATCTTTCAGAAGGCTCTGATTTGAGCAACATATCCCTGCTCTGATCCAGGGTGCTGCTGGACTGCAATCATCCACCCCCACAAGAAACAAAAGCATACTGCTGTGAATGAAGGCAAATATTAACATAATGTTCTGTTTTTCCACTCAATGGAACAATGGAAGTTTATTCTAGTGATTCTAAAATAAGTGAATAGACCATGCAATGGAAATAGTCATCCTGTTCAGTCCAATTTTGAGCTCATTTCACTTTGATTTTTCAAATTATGTGTTTCTATCAGAACAGAGTTCTGTTCTGCTAGAGCAAAATTCAAATTGATGTTCACAGCTTCCAACAGAAGCACTTCCCTGAATGATTTTTGAATCAGTTCCCTGCAGGAATCTCCAAGCAGCCCTCTTAGGTACTTCAGCAGGAAATAGTAGGGGTAGTATAAACACACCCAAAGGTGCTGTTTATACAAAGTTTATCGTATGCAAGGAAACACGAGTTTGTTTCCAATAACACCATGAAACAAAACAAGACACCACATTTTGTATCTTTTGCCAAGATACACTTTGTCAGTTTTAATACAAGTGCAGTTCAAGTTATTCAAGTTTCTGACTGTCAACCTCTGAAACAATTGTAACTTTCAGTAACTTTTCTATGCCTCAATGTTATATATTTACCAACTTCCCCCTACGTTAACTTCAACAACAACAACAAAAAAAAAACCAAAAAACAAACAAAACAAGATAAAAACCCCAAATGAACAACAAGAACCCAAAGTGCAGTTGTCAGGCTGATTATCTAAAAGCTCTATACACACTGAAGGGAACACATGGTGGGAGAACTTCAGTACTGACTGAGTTACACCAGCGTTGGGGAAAGCCCTAGCAACAGGTTAAATAAAGTTTGTAACTTTAGCACTCTAAGGAGAAGACTCAGTGAGTTACAAGTGCTACACTGTTGCTCTTGGAAATACAACCCAGAACCGAGCTACATAGGGTAGATTCAACACGTGCAACTGACACATGTAAACAATTAAAGGTAAACACTGTCACATCAGCGGCTTTTGCTACTGCAGCATTCATGAACTGCGACACAACCCAGCAATGCTGCCTTGAACTCCACCTGTATTTCGACTTATCAGGTCAGTAAAAAAATCCAAAGAGCACGGCCATTATAAGCAAACTGCAGTCCTACACAGGATTTACGTTCAAAAACCCATCAGCCACCACCCAGTTTCTTAAATTGTTTCCCCATTAAGCGAGAGGTTCCATTGGCAAGCACGTGGCTGGCATCGCGATCTGGATGCTTCAGCGTTCTGGATGCTTCAGCCGGAGCCAGCCGCGCCCGGCCCCGGCCGCCGCGCGGGGCAGAGGTTGCGGAGCGGCGCTGTCGCTGTCCCCGGCGCTGTTCCTGTCGCTGTCCCCTCCCGAGCGTGGGAACTCAGCCCCCGCGGCTCCGAGCAGCGGCTCCGCGGCCCGGCCCCTCCGGGCGCTGCCCCTCCGGGAGCCCCCGAACCCCCACGGAACGCGGCGCCTCTAATCCCCGGGAAGGCTCCCACGCCCCTCGTTCCCCGCTGGAAGCGGAGCATCCGCGCCCCCTCCTCCGGCTGCCGCCCGCTCGAGCCGGGGCCGTTCCCCGCCCGCCTCCCGGGGCGCTCACCAGCTTGGGCTTGTTCCGGCTCTCCTCTTCCGCGGCGCGCCCGCCGCGCTTCGCGTTCATCCTGCCGGAGCTCAGCGGCTCCTCGCCGCCCGCGCCCGGAGCCGCGTGTCCGTCCATGGCTCCGCGGGGCTGCCCGCGCCGCGCCGAGCCGAGCCGAGTCAAGCCGAGCCGAGCCGAGCGCTCACGGCCGCACCGGCCCCATGGGCCCCCCGCGCCCGCTCCGCCCGGGGCGGCTCCGCTGCTCCCCCCCCGGCCCCGCCGCGCACGCGCACGGCCCGCCCGAGCCACCGCGCCTGAGCGGGCGGCGCGCGCGTGCGCCCTGCGGCCGCGGCAGCAAATGGCGGAGCCGTGAGGGGCGCTCGGAACGCCCCCGGAGCGGGGCCGGGGTTATGGCACGGTGCGCTGGGAGGAGCCGAGCACTGCCCGTCCTTCCAGCCCGCCATGGGCGGGGGCACCTGCCGCTAGCCCAGGTGTGTGCAGTGCCCGTCTCACCTGGGCACGCCCAGGGATGCAGGGGCAGGCGCAGCTGCTCTGGGCAGCCTGTGCTGAGGCCGCCCCGTGCGCACAGGGGAGGATTTCCACCTAATATCGAATGGAAACCTTCGCTTTTCCAGTTTGAACCGATTCCCCCGTGTGCTGTCACTACTGCTCTTGTAAATTGTCTTGCCCAGTGTTTGGTGAAGGCTCCTGGCAGGTTCTGGGAAGCCGCTTCGAACACCCCAAAGCTGCCTCGTTCTTCTGCAGGCTGAACAATATCTGAGTCATCTGCCCGTGCCCGTGGATTACAACAAGGAAAAACTGTTTAAACCATTTCTGTGGATTCCAGAATCCTTCGGCCGAGCCTGGCTGTGTAAACTGAAGGTCTCTCAGGATGCTCTGTATGAGCACAGGCAGGAAAATCACGGGTCACGTTTGCTTATTAAAGGTGTCGTGTTGACAGATGTCTTCATTTCCATATCATTGCTATTTTTAAAAGAAAAATACACATTTTGTGTTGGTATTGGTGAATCTATACCTGCTAAATTGTGTTGAAAAAGCAGCCATGAACACCATGATGATCTGTTGGTTTGGTGGGACAAGGGCGATCCTTTGGGGTTCACTTTCAGATATAAATGTATCAGCTTGTTGCCCTCTAGGAGAGAGTCCCAAAAGGCAAACAAGACACAATAGTGAATTTCTGATCTCTGTCTAGCACATACACAGTGACACAAAGCCTGAGATTCAGGGGCCTCTCCATTCCTCGTGACTCTCTGAGGCTTACCTGAGTACTAGGGGAAATATTTACCTTTTAAATCCAGCTATGAAAACCTGTTGATAAAATCTGACAATACCAGCTTTCAAATAAAAGGACAGCTCTAAAACTGGCAGGTGTCTTGAAATCAAAGTAGAATCTTGGCAGCAGAAGTTAGGAGTTTATAAAATCAGCCAGCTCTGGCTTGCTGCTCTATTCTAAAATTTCCTTTGAGATCCATCTCTTCTTTCCTGTATAAATATTCCTTTTTCTCGTTCTGTTGATTTAACAATAATAATTTGGGCATAGTTTATGATACCATCTTAAACATACCTAAGTTGTAATGATTAAATTAATGATGAAATTAACCAAGTAATCATTAATGTAATTATTTTTTTGCCATGTCAGGCAATGCCATGTTATTTCCAACTACATCCATTTATAGCTTACAGGATATCATTCTACAGCACCAGTTTAACAATGGTTTGTTAAAAAGAAATGCTCAAATCTCTTTTTTTCTTCTTTTCAATTAGCTCTAATGACCATTTTGGGTTTTCCCTGCTGTCTCTATTTTTCTTTATTAAGCAGCACCCATATCTGGAGCACAAAGTTCAGTCAGTCCACATTCAAAGAAAACAGAGAAGAATTTCCAACAGCCTGGCATCTCCATGCACAAATTGAAGAGGTTTTAAACCAAATTCTGTAGCACTATTTGTTCAGCATAACTTCTTAAGTGCTCAAGAACTTTTTGTCCTCAAATGTTCTGAATTTGCCACGATGCTGCTCATACTGCACTAGCCAAGTGTTCTTCAGGAAAACCTTTACTTTAACTGACCTCTAAGATTCAGGAGCAGCTGGCACAACATGCCAAAAATAATTTGTGGTGTGAGTGAAAGCAAGTGCACATGTGAGAAATAGAGAAAACTGAGCAAATGTACAGGCAGGCCTTGAGTTCCTTTAGTTTTGGTGGAGTAGAACTCAGATCACATTCCTGATTTTAGCAAAACATGAAAAAAAAACACTGAAGTCAGGTGTGGGGACACCACACATCACTGAAAACATCACAGGGATTTGCTGTTGTGGTGCTGGTACGTTGTAATTAATGTACCCTTGTCTGAGTGATGCAGAAAAGATGTGCAACCACCAGGCTGCAGCTGCATCTTGTGATGAAGTCATCCCACAGCTGCTCTTGGTTCCCCTTCCTGGGTTTGCCTGCTCTCCTGGGACAGATGGCTGCTTGCTTACCAGAGTTATTTCATTTTTTAACTCTGATTTACAAACGCTTTGCAAGTCTCCGTTTTGAGATTTCAGCTGTGGCTTAAAATTGTTTCCATCGTACAAAACGTTGCTCCAGGATTTGCTGGAGGCCTGCTTTTGAAAAGCTTGCCGTAGATCAAGTGCCATTAGATCCACTTCACAGCCTCCTCAGCAGAAGTTAAAGCCTGTTGTTTTCTTTTTGAAAATGTTTTTAGTCATACTGCTGCATTTTAGTGTTCTTCCCCCACCCCACTCCAGTTTCCAGGACTAAGAAGCAAATATTCCATGTATGAGCTAAGGACCTTTATGACCATATAAACTCTGCAGGTAATTCCAAGCAAAAGGAGTGAAGGGAAATAACGTAGCTATCCCAATTAGGAAAAATTTACAGGGAAAAGCCCCTCAACACTAAAACAAAACAAAGAAAAAACCCTCCAGAAAACCACAACTCTGCCTAAGGCAGGCAGACAAACCTCATTTTGGCAGACACTGCAATGCAGTATTTTGGCTCAACTCCGAGAGCAACAGTGTGGCCTGAGGGTGGAAACGAGTAGTTGTACAAACTGTTCTTAACTCGGCTTCATCTCTGAAGCAAATGGATTCCGAACTATTTATTACAAATATCATTTCACAACACTGCAAAGATGTAACTCCGAAAAGCCACGGCTCTGTAGGTGCTGACATTTCTCCTTATGTGTAATCTCAGTCCCATTCAGTCACACAGCCACAGCAGCTCTCAGAGATCACACAATTACCTGACAGCAAAATGATCAGACACTGACAAGCATGAGGCATGCTGAGCATCCCCAAAACGTGCATGATTTTATATCTGAACTGATGAAATAGGCCTCTGAGGATGACTGGCTAAGCCAGCAATACGAGATCTTACAGCTCTTAACTCTCTGCCTCTAAACAGACCAAAAGTTCAATCATGCAGGGTTGCAGGAGGCACTCACTCCAATTACATCCAAAAAGGAAAATTATTCTGGATTTGTGGGAATTCGTAGTTCAGTGGTAGAATTTCCATTTGCCAGACAAGGCATAGGCTTCTGCTGGAAAAGTGCAGTTGACAGATCACCAGAGCAGTGATTGAGTTTTCAGTCCCTGGGAAAAGTTCTGTTCTCCACATTTCTAGAACTGAAGAAGAAAGTTAACAGTGTTGTAGTCTTTGTCCTAACTGCACTGGAGAGAAAAAAAAAATTAAAAAAAAAAAGAAAAAAAAGTAATTACTCTGTATGCTGCCAGAAGAGAAAACACACAGTATTTAACTTAACCACAAACAGGAAATATGTTGCTAAGTCACCCAGCAGTACATTCCCAGCTTTTCATCCAGAAATTCTATGTCATTAGCACAACCACTGCACCACAGAGAACACACCACAGTCCTTCCCCTGCTCCTGTTCAGCTGGAAGCTTTTCTGAAGTTTTTCTCTCTTCTTCATCAGTCTCATCACTGCAGTCAGTGTTTACTCTCCTGTCTCTTCCTCCTTTTTGCAGTTTTAGTTGGAATCGATTTACATTTAGGAATTTTTTAAAATTCAGATGGAAATCAGTCTAAGCTTGTTGACAGTGCATGAGAATGTGGTAAATAACAAGGAAAGCATGGGGTTGAATAGCTTATCTTAACAGGTGGGAAAATAGGATTAGAAGTATTAACTGCTAAGCAATTAAAATAAATGAAGAGCGTTAATTGCATATGAATAGATAGTCTCTATTGACAAAACTCCCTCGCTTTCTAAACAATACTCTCTTAGACTACTTAATAAATATTATTTATATGCAAACTCAAATGCACAGAAAATCCACTCACTGATAATTCCAAGAATTATTTGTTTGCTAAAACTTTATTTAATCTAAACCATAATTTCCTGGCTTTCTATAGGCAATAATTGAACACTGTAGTGTTTCTGTAAATGAAGCCACAAGAAGTGACTATCACACATGTATAAAATTTGTTAGTGATTCGAAGGTACATTAAAACATCTTACATTAACCTTTTAACAAATGTTAATTAAAACCACGGCTGATTCTAAACATTCCTTTAAATGGCTCAGGATGACACTTCAGCAAGTTTAATCCTCCCTGGCTGCAGTTTGTTTTTAACCAGCTGTGAGGTGGCTGCCCCACAGCTCATTTTGTGGGCTTTAAACTTTTCAGTTCCAAGATAACTGGCACGTTTTGCCTTGTAGGAAAAGGAAGTTGAGTTTCCCACCTATTGTTTAGGAAAGATTTCTTGTTGAATACTTTGGGGAGGTAATTGTGCTTACAGCAAACCTCCAGTTCAACCTGACTGACTAAATCCAGCTCTGATTTAAAATCTAAAGCTGGATGAGCTCTACCATTATGAAATGATACAGTAAAAATATGAAGTTTACTTGTGTTAAGACACTTTTTTCATTAAACTGAATAATTGTTTTAATCTGGAAAAAAATCATTACAGATTTTAATTTACTCCAGGCCAGGCTCCCCTAATACTTAGGAAACAAAACATCAATACAGTTTTTAGGTTTATATATTTTCCAAAGTGTTACTTCCCTGTTAGAAGCATTTCCCCTCCTTGAAGCAGTGAACTGATTTAGGTGAATTGTCTCGTCACTCTTTTCTCCATTTTGACCCCTCAGTCTATAATTCTAGATCCCAATGAGGTTTATCTTCTCCAAAAGATTTTCTGCTTTCATGTTTTAACAGAACAGTAAAAAACCATAGTTCTTGCTCCATTTATGCTTTTTAGAAACAAGCAATATATGAAAAATAGCACAGGGTTATT